GGGGAACAGTTCATGAGAGACATGTAGGTCAGAAAGGAAAGTTAGTTGACATCTAGCTTAACAAAGGATTTTGACAACCAGGGGAGCAAATTGACAGCACTGTCTGAGAAGAAGATAAGGGGCCCCTTGACTTCCTTTTTATGCTAGAGAGATAGCATGGAATTCTTTATATTGGGAGGAGCTATGGGGCAGCTCTCTGAATCTGAGAATAGGAGGTTCATTCTCAGGGGACTAGTCTATTACTGGTGCAGCTCCCCTCTTTCCCTCATTGGTAAATTTTGAGTGGCTCCAACCATGCGCTTTGGGGGGCAGCCATTTCAACAGAGGGTGGACAGAGACCCATTTTTCCTTGGGGTAACAGTTACCAATTTGTCCAAGGAATTTTGTTAAGCTGATAGCAATGGAGGACTATGTTCTGATTAGCCATAGAATATCAGAGATGGAGAAGGGAGTGACAAGGAGTCAGTTTCTTTACCTAAAGGTTGTAGAGCTCTGTTCCTGCCATTTTAAATCATATAAAAGAGTGTATCCACCTTATGTAGAATTCTGGATGCACCACCCAGCAGGGTGTGGTGCCATTCCAGCACCCCTGGGGTTGGTATAGTGCCACCTGATAGAAGAACTGGTAAGGTAGTAGCAAAGGTTAGAACCCTGATAAAACTCATAATTGGTATCGGTAACAGTTCACACTAGCTCCTGACCAGATTCCTGTCCTACAGTACATTACCTTGACGCCCCACTAAGAAGACCATTACAACTAGCCTAGAGGTCTCTATGCTAATGTGGTATCTAGGGGCTCTGAGTGTTTGGCCTATAAGCATCCCTTCCTAGGCATTTCTTCCTGCAAAATATTTAATCCATGGTTCATTCTGAGTAAGCCATATGCATTTTCATGTGCCATGAAAAAAGCAGTTTGGACAAGCAAGGACTGTTTCCTTCATCAAGGAGTGTTATGCCCAGGTTTCAGGATGCCCAGGAGAGTTCAAAGAATTGCCAGGTCTCATACAGTGAGGCAAAGAACCTTTTAATAAATTCAAACCCAGGTTCAGATTATAATCTGTTCCCACTGCACAGGGCAGGATTGAGATGCTTCATTGAGGGGATTAGGGAATTTATACACAGGCAGGTTCAGGAGTTCCAGGGCTACATGACAGGTAAGGGAAGTCATTCTTTAAACACAATGCCATCTGTTTAGGAGGTGGGCAGTGTTGCACAATTGGGGAGGGAAGCTCCTTTGGCCTTTACGTTGCTATTAGGGGTGTTTTTACAAACAGGTCCCAGCTGTCTGAGAATGCTTAATTGTCTCATAATATGGCACTTAACCTCTCTAAGGACTTGTGCTTCTTCACTTCTCCCAAGGCCAGAAGCCACCTGTGCTGGGGAGTGCCTAGTTCTCCATCAGAGAGAGTGCCATCCTCTTTGACAAGGGGCTCTGGGAGCAGTGGCTGTTAATCTGCTCTCAGGCTGGCATTTGCCATTTCTGGGAGGGTGTTTGCCTTAGGGGGTGCTACTGGAATGGGAATTGTGTCTCCTTTGAAGGGTCAAGTGGCTGCTGGAAGGAGCAAGGGGAGTGAAGGGGAGATTTTGTGAGTGTGAGTGAGTGCTGAGGTGAGAGGAAGTGCTGAGAAGAGGGGATGTGCTGATGGGGGGGTGCTGAGGTGAGAGGAAGTGCTGAGGTGAGAGGAAGTGCTGAGGTGAGAGGAAGTGCTGAGGTGAGAGGAAGTGCTGAGGTGAGAGGAAGTGCTGAGGTGAGAGGAAGTGCTGAGGCTGGCACTGGCTGCTCAGTCTCTTCATTAGCATCATAGGAGGAGGCCTTCCTCATAAAGAGCTGTACCTAAGTCTCTGGGAGAAGGACCCTTCATACTCCTGGCACTCGTCATGAGCTAAGTTGGGTACCCCCCATCCCCACCCCCTCAATAATGGACTGTCAGCCCATGTTTCCAACTCCTCACAGTCCTCAGTGGCCACTAGGTACACAGGAAGATGGGAATCCCATTCTGAACTCTGTGGTTCTCAGAGGTGTCTGGGTGCCCAAGAGTTTGAGAACTATAGTATACACTGGGAGAGTGCTTTCAAACCCAGACTCCTGGCAGGGCCCACTCACACCCCTAGTGGCAGAAGCTGTCATAGCAGTCAGAGCACATTTTAACTTCCAAGTCAATATCAGGCTTTCTCCCCCTAGCAAGCAAACACTGAGAGGTATTACACTCACTAACAACACTGATCCTTGCTGTGAGCAAAAGGAGGATGCCATAACCTTCCTGTCCAACCCGTAAGAATCTTGAGGCTTGCCTAGGGGTAATATTGGCATTGAGCACTCCAGGGAAGATTTATTCTGACTTGTGTGTTTGGTGAGCCCAAGCTACTCAGAAAGGAGCTTTCACTCAGCAGAAATCCCACTTCACATTCCTGCTCAGATTCTGGGTCCTATTTAGGACTGACCATGGACAGGGCACCACAGGCTTCAGACAGACTGCAATGTGACTGAGAGAGAGAAGAGAGAGTAAATTGGTGGAGGTGGAGGAGGCCAGGGGCTAGCTTTTGATTTCCTGAGTTTTGGGAAGAGGAGGAGGGGCCAAGAACTTGAGTTTTGATTTTTTGAAGTTGAGGGGAGGGAGGGGACTATGGTGACCTTCAGTGAGAGTGGAAGTGAGGGGAACAGGGCATGTAACAGTGACACTTAGGACTCTCTGGCTTCTGCCCAGGCCTGGGATGAGGTGTTGTATATGTGACCTCCAGACCACTCCACTCTGAGGGTGGAGATGGGGGGCTGGGAGTGGCACAGCTGGCCAGAGGCTGGAAGGTTGGAAGGTATCCTAGGGAGAACTCCTCATCCACACAGAGGGGACAGGCTCCCCACCTCACAGTCAGGTGTTGAGTTCTGCCCAGAATTCCTGTCCCCCACTGATGCCTCTGTCCTCCCAACTTAGAGAAGCAGGCAGACCTGCCCAGGGGTTGGAATCCCTATAACCATTTACCTACACCACATCTATCCACACAACTGAGTTCCCTTTCCCTGTCCACTAGGGCCTGCTCAACAATCCTCAGAGACTTGGTGATAGAGGACAGGGTTCATGAGAAGGACAGTCCTTCAGCAGTGCCAAGGAAGGTCAAGGAAGGCCATTCTTTAACACTCTATTCTTTGGGCTCTAGGCTGCCTTGGGAGCGTGGACTTTTGTAGAATAAAGCCATCAGAAACTTCATCTTACAGCCCTCCTCCAGGGCCACATTTCTTCTTGATCAGAACTGACAGGATGAGGGGATAGAGGAAAATTTTGGGCTGTCTTTGTGTTTGACAGAGCCTTTTTCAGCTCTTAAAGAACTTAGTTTCAGAGGTTAGTGAAGGGACTCTGGCCAGCTGGAGCATGGCAAACATGGCTCTTGTTAGTATTCTGTCTAAACTCTACCTCTACAGTTACCTGGCAATAGCCAGGTAGGCCTGCCCACTATAAAAGGGGCTGCTTGCCCCCTCCTTACTCTCTTACTCTCTTAATCTCTTGCTCTCTTACTTTCTTGCTCTCTTGTCTCTAGCTTCTCTCTGTCCCCCTTGCCCTGTAGAGTGAAAAATTATAGATACTGGGTATATAGAATTCTTTTTAGACATATAAAATATTCTTTAGGCTTTCTTTATAAAGAGATGGAGAAACTGAGCCATGAATCAAGTTAGGAATGAGGAAAGACCAGTCACCATTACTGGAACTGGCTTATCTGCAAAGAGAAAGGAAAGAATACAAGTGAACTAGGTGGAACCAAGCTGGGAACCAAGCTGAGAACTGCAGTGACAGGGCAAGGCCACAGTGACAGGGCAGGACCACATTCTTGAGAAAGATAAGCGTACAGAGAGTTTTCACCTGATCCTGACCATGTAGGTTGGGTTCCTTTGGAATGTTCCACTATTTTTAATGTTATGCCACCTCAACAACCCCTCATTCCCCTCCCCATTCCTTGGTTTGTGGTTTTTCCCCTTAAAAACCCTTCTCAAACTGGCTGTCAGGGTCAATTCAGCTCCTGCGTGGACATACGAATTGACAGGCAGCTAGCTGTCACGCCCTAATAAACCTCGCAATTGCTCTGGTACACGGTGTCTCGAGCAGATTACTGGGTGGCCGCGACTTTCTGAGACTTGAGTGAGGGTCTCCCCTCTGCGGAGGTCTTCAGCCCCTCCCCCTTCCCTTCTCCCTTTCTCCATGTGGTCATGGCCTGCCTCTACTCTTCCACTTCTCTGCGCTCTCTCTCTCTCTCTCTCTCTCTCTCTCTCTCTCTCTCTCTTTCTCTCTCTCTCTCTCCCCACCTCCCTCTCTCTCTGCCTCTACTACCCTCCTGGCTCCCCTCCTCATGCCTTGAATAAACTTTATTCTATGCTATACTGGTGTGTGGCTGGTCCCTCAGGGGGAAGAGATGCCTTGGCATGGGCCTGCTGAGACATCCATTCCTAAAGCTAGACACCAAGGTCTATTCCCTTATTTAACCACTTCCTCCTCCTGAGACTGACTACCAAGGTCCAGCTCTCAAAGTATGAGTCCAGCAATCAAAAATCCCCTTTGGCTTACCTAATTAGTAGCCCAATTAAAATTAAACAGCTCATGTTAATATAGGGTTTTCCATTTGCCTATGGGCCATGTCTGTTTCCTCTCTACCCAGACACAGTCTTTTCTTTTCCAAGACAAATACCAAAGACTATCAGCCCAGGGATGACACCACCCACGATGGGCCTTCTTCCCTTATCACTAATTGAAAAAAATGCTTCACAGCTGGATCTCATGGAGGCATTTCCTCAAAGGAGTCTCCTTTTTTCTGTGATAATTTTAGCTTGTTTCAAGGTGACACACAAAAGCACACAGTACAGAACTGAAATTAAATGTCTCAGCCCACCCAAACCAAGTGTTCCCCACTCTCAGCTTGCTAACAGGTGCTAGCTAGTATGTCAGGCTGAAAAGTCAGAGATGTGAACTGGCAGACAGAACATGAAGGACTCAGTGTACTAAAAGAAAACAGAGATCTTGGCTTTTGAACAAATGGTTTATTGGACTCAACAGGGGGACATTGAGTGCCACAACTGGGAACCCAGCAGGACCCCAGATATTTATGTGTGGACAGTGGTGACATAATACCTTGGAAATCAACCTCTTCCCTGTGCTGTCCACCTCCCTCCAGGGCCAAGAGTAGCAAGCCATAACAAAATGACATTCCAGGAAGTACAGATCTAAAAGCCCTAGAGAGAAATAGGGAACCTACTCAGCTATAAACGGCCTATAAAGTTTAAACAAGGTATTCCACACAAAACCCCCAGCTCAGAGGTTGTATAACTCATAATTCATCACTAGAGGGATCCAAGAGGAGTGATAAGGCAAAAGGATAAAAGGACCAGGTGGGGGTTGGTGGAAGGTCCATCACAGCAAGGTCTGCAGGAGGACTGAGCCCAGGCTGAACAGAAGCACCCCTGGACCTGCTATGGTCCAGGTGCTGCCTCCAGTGGGAACTGCTGCATTGCAGAGGTCTTCCTGGCAGCAGGAAATCTTCAAGTTGACAGAAGCACCCAGTTTCCTTTCATTTTCAATATCAATAGGGCAAAATGAAAGGCATCGATGGCTCTTTATTTTCTTTGTGGTAGAGCCTGCAAGACATCAGGGAGTGACTCAGTTCTTATGCAGGGACAACAGAGCATTCAAAAGTCTGGGCTACATGCCACCAGGCCTGGATGGACCAGACTTGTCTGTAAGGCATGTTGAAGCCAGACATGGTAGCTCAGACTTGTGATTACAGAACTTGGAAGCCTGAGTCAGGAGAATTTTTATGGATTCAATCCCAAACTGGGCTACATGGGGACTTTTAGGCTATCGTGGGGCTAGATACACCAAATCAAGTAACAAAAGAAATAAAAATGAAAACCATGGTCTGGTAAGAAGACTTGGTGGGTAAAGTTCTTGTGTGCACAACCATGAGCCCCCAGTGCTGATCACTAGAGCCCATCACAAGATGGGCAACCATGGTGGCCTACTTGTATCTCTGTGCTTAGGAGAAAAAGATGAAGATCTCTGAGGTAAGCTCATGGGCTAGACCAGCTGAACCTGTAAGCTTATAGTTCAGTGTGAGACCCTATCTCAGTAAATAAAATAGATGTCACAGAGGATACCCATCAACTTCTGGGTCCCATACATGGTACCTCCCCAGGGCATGTACATCCATATATGTACAGACATGTGCCTTTACATGCCATGTGCTGGGGAAGCAACTCAGTCGGTGAAGGGCTTGCCACATGGAAGCCTAAGGATGCAAGATCAATCCCCAGCAACTGTGTAAAGGGGCAGCCAAGCATTGGAGTGCTGGTTATGATCTCTGTGCTGGGTTGGAGGGGGAATCAGGAGGTCCTAGGAACTGTCTGCTACCTCCCTCCTCCCCACATGCAGCATTCTTGGCAAATCCTAGCCCCCAGTGAAGATCTTGTATCAAAAAACAATAATATTGAGCTTGGAGACTTGACTAAGCAGTTCAAGCACTTGTTGCTCTTACAGAAGCCCAGGGTTTGGTCCCCAGACCCCACGTGGTGGTTTACAACCATCTGTCATTCCAGGTCCAGGGGAATAAACTCATTTGCATAAAAATTAAACAATGCCTAAGGAAAGGTACTTAAGGATGGCCCCTGAGCATTACACATGTTACATTACATAATTCAAATATGGGCACCCACATTTATGCACACACACACACACACACACACACACACACACACCACAAAGCAAGAGCACAGTGCAAGATCAGACAGCCCAAAGGGCAACTCTTCCAACTATCCTTGTCCATCAGTGAGCCTGTGAGACCTCAGACACAGCATACAGGCAGGAGCATCACATGACTACACTGGTGACACAGGGGGATGATGAACACCATGCGTGCCAATGGGCAGCCCTGCCTCATGGTCCCCATCCCAGCGCATCCCTGGACTCTGACAGCCCCCAGTGTGCAGGAAAACCACTCCAACCCCAGGACAGCTCGACTTGGAGGGAGGGGAACCATGGTCCATAACAAGTGCCCAGATCTGACCTTTTCTCCCAAGACAGCCTCACCCACATTTATATAGTCCACTTACCCTCAGGAACGTCTGCCACCTGAGTCACACAGAATGCATCAGGGTAGGGGCAGGTCATTATTGATGAGCAGGAAGTGTCAAGTGGGACCCTCTCACAATGGTAGCACTGCAGCCCCTGAGCTGAGAAAGAAGCACATACATGAGTGCTAGGACATGCCCTTCTTAGACCAGACCCCTCTTCTACAATGTCTCTACTTTCCTACTGCTGCTGGTCACTAGGATACAGCAAGGACATTACTGCCCAGTCACCTCCACCAAAAGTAACAGTTAACCAAGAGCCACAGTTGTTCAATAAGCTCGGTCCTGCTGTCTCACCTAGCCAGCCCACATGAGAAACCTGCACCCCAAGACAAATTAGAGAGACAGTCACCACATTGAGAAGACAGAGATACCAAATGTCTGCTGAAGTACTGAGTGGGTGTGTACATATGTACTGGGGTCACCAGATGGGGAGGGCTGTTCTGACTTGTCCCACCCTAACCCTGCAGAACTGGGCCTTGGGTCTCTGAGTGTGACAGAGCACTGAACTTCCCAGAGTCCAGCTTAAAGCTGAGGCTCACCATGAGTCCTCCTGAAATACAATGAAACTAGAAGTATAGGCGTATCTGAGAGCACGAATCCTCCTAGAGTAGGGAAGTTCTAGCATTGGGGCCTCATGTGGCATGGGCTGGGGCATAAGAAAAAGTCAAATGCCAAACATTAAGGATTTCAAACACGTTGACTTGGCATCTGGGCCAGGAAAAGTAGCCTCTGCCTGTTTGTGTACACACAGGCCGGAGTCCTGTCTCAAAGGCCAAGGCAGAAGTGTAGTCTAAGGACAGGGTGCTCTGGTGGCCAGGGTTTGTGGCAGAGGTAGCAATGTCCAACAGTCCTTCTGGCAGGTTCGCAGACCCAGCATGCAACTGCTACAGCACAGGAAACTTCACCCACCACAAGCCAATCCCAATGCCCTGACCCAAGCACACCTCAGGCACTGGACACACAATGGAGGTGCAGGTGTACCCCCAACCCTGAGGCCCTTTTTCATCTCCATTGTACCCTCCTGTCCCACTATTACTTTCCATCTCACCTCTTTGTGCAGACAGTAAGGCTACAAACAGGAAGAGCACACAAGCCTTTGAGGCATGAAAATGGTTCATCCTCAGAGAAGGGGTGCACAGATAAAACCTAAGAAGTTAAAGACAGTTGATAGACCCCAATCACATCCCTGGGCTCTCATACCACTCAGGCATCCAATGCTCCCACCCTCTTCTCCCTCCCTCCCTCTCCCTCTCCCTCTCTCTCTCTCTCTCTTTCTCTCTCTCTCTCCTTTCCCTCCCTCTCTCCCTCTCTCCTTCTCACTCTCCCTTTCTCCCTCTCTCCCTCTCTCCTTCTCACTCTACCTCTCTCTCGCTCTCCCTCTCTCTTGATTTTCTGAGACAGGTTTTCTCTGTATAGCTCTGACTGTCCTGGAACTCACTCTGTAGACCAGGCTGGCCTAAAACTCAGAGATCCACCTGCCTCTTCCTCCCAAGTGCTGGGATTAAAGGCGTGTGCCACCATGCCAGGCTCTGCCTACTTCTCTTACCCAACACCCATCCAGTTTTTCTTCACAAATCCCAAACTCTCACCCACAGTCCTATCCTGAGGGCTCTTCCCTTTGCCACTTAGCAGCTCCCTCCTGACACCAGTTCTTACTTCCTCTCTGTGGTCAGGTTGCAGGCAGAGCAGAACCATCTGTCCGATGTGGACTGAAATAAGTACTCTTTCCCTCAGCTCCTCCCATCTGGCATCCTGAAAGGGGGTTTTTGGTACTCCCAATAGGCCAGCATGTTTATTGTGTAACAGTTAATCAGATTTTTATAGCAGTGAGGAAGGGAGGATCTGGCAGTTGGGGAGGGACTTTGATGCTCAAGGATTTTGAGGATAGAAGGGTGGGGCCACAGTTGGCTTGTGCTTGACCTTCAGAAAGCAAGGGAAAGAGGCAACTTACATAGCCTTTTACCTGGTTTTTGTCTTGTTATGTTTCATGGGGTTTGTTTTGTTTTGTTTTGTTTTGTTTTGTTTTGTTTTGTTTTTTGTTCTTTTGAGACAGAGTTTTTCTGTGAAGCTTTGTCTGTCCCGGGACTTGCTCAGTAGACCAGGTTGGCTCAAATACATAACTATCAAAGGGGTGTTCAGCAGCTGCTGCTGCTTCTGCCACCATCACCTGGATCTTCCCTGTTTCTAAGTAGAGGATATGGGCTGCAGTGGCTCAGACCCCACTGCCCTCTTCCTATAAGCCAGTAAACAACTGACAAATACCTGGAGACTGGCTCTGGTGAGCAAGCAGCCAACAGGGTCTTGTATCCACAAAGTGAGAGTTCTGAGGGAAGAATTAACTAACAATTGGGATGTAAGATACTAAGCAGTGTCTGATGTGTTTGGGTGATATATGGGAATGCCGTGAGCATCTGGTAGCTAAAGCCAGGGATGCTTTTCATAACACAAGGCAGTCTTATGCCAAGGGTGAATGACCCCAGTGTCCCAGCAACCCAGATGACTCCATGAAGAAGCCACATGCTCATTCTTCCTACTCCAGTTTGTATGTTTTCTGGTCCTACACCTATTATGTCTCAGTCTATTGTGTCCCACAAAGGATTCCATGGCCTTTATGTCACCATTTTGTGACATAGGATTCTAATAACTAAAACCTTACTAATTTGCCAAATATTGATGTCATCTGTGTCCCAGCCCTGGGATGAGCAGCAGGGCCCCCACAGCAAGCCAGAACCTGAGTTTCCTAACCTCATGGAGCTTAGAGCCCAGTGAGTAGCCACACTTAAGTGTCTGCAAGGCACTGATAAAGGTTAGAGAAGGACGGCTGGGCACAGAAATAGACCTGAGCTGGAAATCATCCTGAGATGACACCACAGCAACAGAACAGGGATGCTCAGAGGATAAGTTTTTTCCAAGATGGACCACAGAATCAGCAAAACTGAGCACACCCACTTAAGCAGGCAAGGCTGCAAAGGGAAGGAAGCCAGAGGCTCAGAGAACAGCAGACAGATTCTCCTGATGGAAGCCACAGGGCTGAAACACAGTCTCATTCCTTCTATCATTTCTGGTTGGTTCCATATACACATCCAACTCCAGTGTCAGTGTTCTGTGTTACACAAGATGATTGATCAAATAAAGAGATACACTGTAGGCTGAAGTCAGGATTCTCAAGAAGCAGTGGAGAATCAGCCTCTTTAGGATAGAATATCAAACCCCAAGACTGCTTTAAATCCTTGGAGCCATCATCTGGATTTATTGCAAGACACAATGGGTCTTTTAACATTCTGTTACACTACAGGTCCTCTACCATAGCACCATTACAGAATCCCTTCCTTCTTACTTTTTAATCTATGATCGACGCAAACCATGTTTTCCACCAACACCTCATAACCCAGCACAGTGGTAGGAGGAAGAGAGGAAGCAAGAAATGTTTTCTCTGTACTTCTTTCACATGCTGTCCTAGACATTGACTCATGCGTGAAGAAGTACATGTGAAACAAAGAGCATAGACAGCAAGATTCTGCAAACAAACATAAAGCATCAATGACAGATCCAAATGGCAATCCATCCCACATTGCACCTTCCAATGAGTTTAGGTCAATTTTTTACAGAGGATAAGTGAGGTCCCTTAAAGGAACATGCAGAATTTCTGGGCAGCTAAGTCACCACCAAGTCTTATTCCATCATGGAAGCCCTGTGATGGAGTTTGTCTTTTAGTTACTCTTCTGTTTTGTCTAGGTTGTAGCATTTTCTGAGACCTCTTGTGGCTGCAGGGGACAAGGAGAGAGTAATGGCTGGAACCCTAGGTAACAGTCCTTCCTTCTGAAAATAGAGAATTCTGTCCATTATCACAGACCTGTTGCTGTTTTGCTCTTCTCACTTCATTGCCAGGGATCCTGGACCAGCATTATCCCTACTCCAGGATGGCAATGGGGCCATCACCTTCTTTTTGGAGGAAAAGGTCATATAACCACAGCACTGTACACTGTTTCCCTAAATGTCTTAAACTAGGGGTTCTCATGGGTCCTCCACGTTCCACCCAGCACCACTGTTGGGGAGCAAGCTTCCCTTAGTGGTGAACTCCTGCCCAAATTACTGACAGACCACTTAACACTTAAGGGAAAGGGCAGCTGTGTACTCATATAATCTTAGAGTTAGAGGTACCAGATGAGGCCAGGCTTATGCTAGAGAAGCCAGGTCCTCTGCAGAGAGAGCTATGCAGAAGACAAAACACACCCAGAGCTCTCTCTTGCCTTCTAACTCATCCTGAGGCCTGACTACTGTCACACTGAATAGGTCACCATTAACCAAGCCCATTCCTCTCCTCAGAGAATGAATGACCTCTGGTAAGTAGCCAAGGTCACATATGCCTCCCTCACCACCTTGAGTCATACAGTAAATGTTTCATGTTAACTAAGTGAACTTCATGGAAATGCCACTTGCCCCTCCTCCATGGGCTGTGGTCTCAGGATGCAGAGGAGCTGGGGAGGAGGGTGTTGCAGGGCAGTGAGTGTGTTGGGTATAAATGATTGAGAAGACTGTGTCTGAGGAAAGCTCCTTTATTGAAATAGATTGGCTAGATTATTTACCTTGAGTCAGGGGAAGGGGAGGAAAGGGATGGTTTAGGAAGTGCCACAGTGGAGGCAGGGGCTTCCAAGTGTATCAGGTAGGTTATGAAATTGTTAATCACATGATTTCTAAGAAGTCAGTTTTCTGGTGGGGAAACAGAAACTTAACGTTTTTATTATGTCTTGGCTTTCGTCTCTATGGAGTTTAGTAGGCCCAAGCCTCATTAGGGTAGGGAGAATCTCCACTCTTGCAGTGCTCTAGGACAGCTGTCCAGGGGTATTGTCTGTGTTAACATTTCTTCTAGGCTCTACCCTAAAGTGACCTGGCCACAGCCAGTTATACCTGACTCACTATAAAAGGGCCTGCCTGCCCCTTCCTTACTCTCTTCTCTTGCTCTCTTCTTCTCTTCCCCCTCTGTCTCTTCTCTCCATTCTCCTCCCCTGTCTCTCTCCACTTGCTCATAGCTAGATTCTACTCTTCAACTCTCTCTCTCTCTCTCTCTCTCTCTCTCTCTCTCTCTCTCTCTCTCTGTTCCTTTCTCCTTTTCTCTGTCTCTACTCCCTCAACTTTCTTCCTCATGCCCTAAATAAACTCTATACTATACTACTATACTATACCACACCACACCACACCACACCACACCACACCACACCACACCACAC